TACTTGGGTAAAAAGTGAAGGCTACTCAAAAAACAAAACCTGTGCAGCAAGTTGCTCCACAGTTTTTAATTAAGTCAACTTATTTTGTTTACAGTGCATAAGGTGTGTTCTAAATAGTACACTGTAAAAAATGATCAGTTACTTGAAGCGAGTAAACCAGTTGCCTTAAAAGCAACGAGTTGACTTCATGTAAGTAATGTAAGTATGTAATGCAAGTAAACCTATTGTAACGTATAACGGTTACATTGACTTGACTTTTATAATTATGCTAGCTGTACTCACTTTTAAAGTCAACTAATCCCTTTTTACAGTGTCAGACTATTTCGTTATTTATTATATTTATTTTAGTTACTGTAATTTTGCTAGAAACAGAAATTCTGGAAAAAAACAAATGTTATCACGGTATATTGGAAAAAAGTGATACATTTATTATTATTATTTAAAAAGGAAAAAGTGAGTACAATTTGCGTAATTAAAAAATTAAGCCAACTTAACGGTTACAAGTTACAATAGGTTACTTAAATTATCTTTGTGAAGTCAACTTGCTGCTTTTAAGGCAATTGGTTTACTTGATTTAAGTAATTAATCACTTACACTATATATTGCCCTCCGAAGGGAATTTTGGTGGGAAAACAGTTATTGCTGCCATATTGAGATGTCTGTCCCAACCAAAGTGCTTATAAACAGCTACTTTGAAGGCACTTTTGGAAATTTAAAGAGTGCAACTAATCGACACTTTGGGCCCCAATTAAGTTTTGTGTAAGTTGTTTGTTTACTGTCCTGGCATGAAGGATATAGTGTTTTGGTCATTTTGGCTTATCTGTATAAATTGAGATTTGACATTTATGTAGGAGACACCTAAAAATAGTGAAGGAAATATGTTTTAGCACTTTGTTGTTGTGTTAATCATACTATTAAAACACAAATTTAGTTCTTTAGAAAGTTAATATTTCCGCTTGTGATCTCCATCATCTGTTAAAAAAAAAAATGTATAAAGCTGAGATGAGAATGTTCTCAACGGAGAGCTTTTCATGCAGTCAGTGAGTCATACTGTCAGAAGAGAAATGAAAATCTGTTCAGTCTAAATGAGGAGGATACAGTTTAGAAGGAGAACGTGTGTAACCAAAGGTGAGTGTAAAAGGTCAAGTTAACCAACAGAGAAGGAATGTTTCCGCTCTGAAAGACTGTATATGGGTTTACCACTTCTGTAAAACAGGAAACCTTCATTGGGAGTTTGTTTGCCAATAAATAAATAAATAAGACAGACAGTAATTTAAACTGAAATAATCATGAATTTAAGAAAATTTGAAAGAATTAATTTTTTATTATCATTTTCATTTCCTTTGAAGAACATTTGGACTGTACAGGAATTTTCTGGAAGATCCGCTATTTAGTTAAGTCACATTTTTTCATTTCAATTTTTACTATAAAGCAATGCTCTGCATATATTTCTTTAAAATCCCACTGACCTTGACTACAACAGACTGAACTGAAGAGATTCCTAGACAATAAATAAAAGCCACAGCTATTATGTAATTGCCATAGACCAATGGAGATTCAAAGATGTTTACTAGATAGGGCATATTCAAATCATTTTGGCCACTTTTGATGCACTACCCCTCAAAGGTTCAAGCTAGAACAAACAGTCATTTGAGATTTAAAAAAAACGGCCACTTTAATAGGTACACCTGTCTAACTGCTCAGTTAACCCACATTTCTAATCAGCCAATCACATGGTTGCAACTGCTGATCTACCTGGATTTTCACATACAATTGCCACTCCTGTCAGCTAAGAACCGGAAACTGAGGCTACAATTAGCACAGACTCACCAAAATTGGACAATAGAAGACTGGAAAAACATTGCCTGGTCTGATGAGCCTCGATTTCTGCTGCGACATTCGAATGGTAGGGTCAGAATTTGGTGTCATGTCATTTGGAAAACATGAAAGTATAGATCCATTCTGCCTTGTATCAACGGTTCAGATTGGTGGTGGTGGTGTAATGGTGTGGAGGATATTTTCTTGGCAGACTTTGGGCCTAATAGTACCAATTGAGCATTGTCAAAGCCACAGCCTACCTGAGTATTGTTGCTGACCATGTCTCTTTATGACCACACTCTGATGGCTACTTCCAGCAGGATAACGCATCATGTCATAAAGAGCAAATCATCTCGGATTGGTTTCTTGAACATGACAATCAGTTCACTGTACTCAAATGGCCTCAACAGTCATCAGAACTCAATCCAATAGAGCACCTTTGGGATGTGGTGGAAAGGGAGATTTGCATCATGGATGTGCAGTTGACAAATCTGCAGCAACTGCCCGTACTATCATGTCAATAAGGAGCAAAATCTCTGAGGAATATTTTTGGTACCTTGTTGAATCTATGCCACGAAGGATTAAGGTGGTTTTGAAGGCAAAAATGGCCCAACTCTGTACTAGTAAGGTGTACCTATTAAAGTGGCCAGTGAGTTTATACTTGCTGTTTTTATGCTATATATATATATATATATATATATATATATATATATATATATATATATATATATATATATATATATATATATATATATATATATTCTATAAATGCAGAACCTGTCAAAAATATAAATCATTGCAAATTTAACACATTTTATCTTAAAACAAAGTAGGCTTCACACACAGCAAACATCATTAGCTTCACACAGTAAAATGTGCATGCATGTGTGAGATAGAGATCATGAAGAAGGTTATATTTGGATATCTGGATGTCCATCAGACAGGATGAGCTTATCACGCTGGCCTCTCCCAGCATCCTCAGGGTCTTTAGCTCGTCTCTTGAGAAACAAGGGTGGAGGCCTCCAAACCCTTTATCATTCGCTCATGATGGATGAGCGTTATGCAACATTCTTACTTAGTCAGAGACAAAGTGTGCTTCATTTTCTTAGAGGAAATGTGCTGCAAGGCTGACTGAAGGCTGTGTATGCAATGCCTTTTGAATGTTATGTTTGTTTCGAAGATGGAGTTGTAAAGCTTTTCTGATGCATGTTCTGCATTTCTGATTTTTTTTACACTCAGAATTGCAAGATATAAACTTATCGGAGCACTCTACTTTTTATTTTTGAAAAAAAAAAACACTCATTTTACAAGTCTACTAAAGTTATATTGTTGAATTTTTCTAATTTTGTTTTGTCTGACAAGAGCACAGTTCAGTTCAATTAAATTTTTACTTGTATAGCACTTTCCACAATAATTGCTGTTCCAAAGCAGATTCACAAAAGAATCACATCCTTACAGCCAAAATCTGAAACGTTGAAGAGTTGTGTAAAGCGTTGGCAGTATTCAAATGTAGTTAACCTGCAGTTATATGCTGTCCTTCCAAAATAAATAATATTTACATGTAATAATAACTTTTAGCTTAGCATAAATCGGGACTTGTGAAAGTTTATATAGCATTTGGAGTTTATATTTTGTTTTTATTGCATTTCTGAAGTTGCTTTCTTAGAACTACAAGATATAAAAGGTATGAACAGGACAATTTCTTACAATTAATACAAAACAAAGTTATGTTTATATGCTTATGTCTTATATGCTCATTTTAATAAGTATGGTGCTTCTTAATGGTATTTCTAAATGTTACAATAGGGGCTTTCTTTTTTTACAATGCCTATCAAATTGAGAGCTGTGTATTTTTTAGTTTTTATTTATATTTTTTTTTTTTTGTAATTATAATTTTTATTTATTATTGTTTTAATTATTTTTATTGATTTTATTGATTTTTTTATTTTATTGTAAATTTTTGTTTTTTTATGTATATTATTGTTTTATGTATTTATATTTTTATTTTATTCATTATTATTATTATTATTAATATGATTAGTTTATTATTAGTTTTATTTATTTATTAAAATGTGTTATATATGTATTATTTATTGTTTATTTTTACATTTTTTTATTAATTCATTTTTATTTATAATTTTATTATTATTATTATTTTTTTTTTTAATTATTTATTTAATTATTTATTGTTTTTATGTATTTTTCAACATTATTATTATTATTATTATTATTATTATTATTATTATTATTATTATTATCATTTTAATTAATTTATTTTAATTTATTTATTAACTATTATTATTTTTGTTGTTGTTGTTGTTGTTATTATTATTATTACTTTAATAATAATTATTACTTTAATAATAGTAATTTAAATACATTTTTTAAATCATAAAAGTTTTTAAGTTTTTTTTTAATAATTCCCTGTAACACCCCAGGGTTTTTACCAATGAGTGCCCTATAAAGGGTTAAAGGGAGTTATTTTATTTATAATGTAATCCTTTATGCATTCCTCATTGATTGACCTTGACGGGACACAGCTTACTTTACCTTCCTACATCCTGAAATATATTTTGTCTTGTTTGTTTTCCCTCTTTTATTGCTCCTGGCTTAAAGGTCTACCTAATTAAAAAAAAAAAAAAAACCTTAGCAGAGGCTGATAATTGAAGCAAAATCACTGGCTCATCTTAGCAAAAACAAAATCAAGTTTTGAAGTCTTCTGGATAGTTGTCTAAAATCAGGCACAGGATGGCCAGTGAGGTCCAAGTTTTATTTTTTATTTCTTCAGTGAAATATTGATGGTGAGCAGACAGTATGCAAATTTTCGGTCGCGGTTCGTGCCAGGGGTTCTGCTCTCTGCCAGCCCGTACTGGGGTAAAAAAAAAAAACAGATGGATGAAAAGAGCCGATCTACATAACCACCAAGCAAACAGAACCATTACTCATAATTGCGCTGTTGATTTGGATGATATAGAAAGGAACTTAATGCCCTTCTCAAAATAAACCCAAATTACATGGTACGATATTATATTTTCTCCCTTGTCACCCTTTCCAGAAGTTCAACTTGAATTACATTTCCTCATAACTGAAAAGTGAATGTAATGACTGAACATGTCCTCTAGAGGGAGAAACTGTCCACTTTCACTCATCCTCATGCTTTTCTCTGTGTTTATGTCTGTTAGGTGTATAAAGTGGGCTCAGACGGTTTTGACACCTATGACCAGCATTATGGAAGAGGGCTCGGGAAGGACACCATCATGGAAGGTACTATCTATGTCTACGTATAATTATTAATTTATTTTTTGTTTGCAAAAATACAGCTGACATGTAGCAATATTTGTATGCAATAATTACATTGTCAACGAAAAAAGATACAAGAGAGAGAAAGAAATAATAATAATAATAATAAAGAACTTGAATATAAACTTGAGGGTAAGATGTATAAGAATCAATCACAGTATATAAATTGATGTCATTACAAAATGAAATAGTTCTGTTTGCTTGAGTGCCGGATGAAGGTGATCACCCACCATACCTGTCAACATTGGGATGTGGAAATAAAAGGATATGCCCACCATAAAAAGGGATTCCACCGATCCCATCCCCACTCCCCTTAAGAAATCCCCAATTTACTAAATATGCTCATTTGGAGATGTTTCATTGTAAATAAACAGTTAAGTGGTCAGTAATATGTTTTATTATTATTTACAAAAGAAAACATAAGTAGTATACATTAAAAGCAAATAAATTAGCAAACCGTTTAGCTTATTAAAATTAATAGCTATTATAAAGAAACAGAATCAAGCTATCAAATCTCATTAGCCATTTCTTCAATGTGTAACTTACACAATCTGGATGAAGAGCAACGAATAAATGATTCATTTAGATTTATTTAATTTGATTACATTAAATAACAGATGTGTCTCTTTAAAAATGCACACATCTTTTGTTATAATGAAAGCATTCGAACTTTTTATGCTCATTTAGGATGACATGACTAGTGTTTGGGAAAAAAAAGACACCAAGATCGACATCTTTAGATGTTGTTGTTGTTATTATTATTATTAGTTAAGTGTATCTGTCTGTTTAAACATGCACCCAAAACCCGGACTTTCGCTCCGCTTTAAATCACAAGTACAGAATCGTCTATTTATCACTATGGAGCGCGTCAGCTGACAGTCATGCAGCCGTTATATGACCGTTTTGAGAATTGCATATGAAGGGGAGACGGCATCTGTAATGAATAGGAAGAGAATCGCGCTGTTTTATGTTTATTTTAAAGTGTTTTATGTCCGAACATAGCGAAAGCACAGAACAGACTTACATTTAAGGGTAAGGGTGGCCCCTGGTGGTTTGGCGGTATGGGTTGAGTACAGGGAGGCTCAGCTCTTTAATGTTTATTTACAACCCATCAGAGAAAGACTACAAATACGGGACAATACATTTACGGGATGATAGCGGGATAGAACTGTAAAATAAGGGAGAATCCTAGGAAGAACGGGAGGGTTGACGGGTATGCCATCCACTCATTTGAAGACAACGTTGTTTTCGTGTCATCTCGTTTGGACTATTACTTTTTTGTACCTGGGTGTAAATCAGCCCTCTCATTCTCATTTGCAGCTCATTAAGAACTCTGCGACCAGACTTTAAGGGACAGCTATTATGCAAAAATCACTTTTGTAATGGGATTAAGCACAGTTGTGTGGCAACAGTCTGTAAATATAATCAGCTTCTAATGGTAAAAATGTAGTAATCATTTTTTTTTTATAATCACACTTGATAAAAACAGTCTGCAGAAACACTTTGATTGACATTCTCCCTTTGTATGTGTCATCAGTGGGGCAAAGCCCCACTCATTAATGACGATCTCTCCCTCATTAGCATAGGATGTTAGTCTTGTTTTTGAATCTGCCACTATGCTGGCACATTTGTAGCTCCGCCCTCTTTTGAAAAGAGCATCTCATTTGAATTTAAAGCGACAGTCACAAAAATGGCACAATTTCGCTCATGGCCTAAAAGGGGCAGATAAAGAGAATGGGACAACTGCATGAATAAAAAATTACATGAAATTAACCTGAAAATAAATGAAAGACACTCGAAATTATAATTTACTAGGACCAGGCTTGATCATACTATTTATACCAGATGTCGAATTGGACATTCTAGGTTGACACATTTATATTGACTGAATAACGTAGCACCACCTCAGTGTAATTACTGCCAGGCTGCTCTTACCATAAACCATATTTTGTTGAAATGTGGAAATTTAAATTACATTAGACAACATTTTTTTATAAGGAGTTGTGTATGGACATAAACAAAGACTATGGCTGCGTCCGAAACCGCATACTTCCATACTATACAATACACTTAAATCAGTATGTGAGCCGAGTAGTATATCCGAATTCATAGAATTCGAAAATCAGTATGCGAGAAGTACCCGGATGACTTACTACTTCCGGCGAGATTCTAAAGTGCACATCCCATGCACGCTGTGCTATCCCATGATGCCCCGCGAGAGAATTTATAAATGGGAGTGAAGCGACGCAACTGACACAGGTAGGTCATGTGATCGTGACAAAATGGCAGGTGTAGTACGTCCAGATTCCATTCATACTGTATAGAACGTACTTTTCTAACGGCCAAGTAGTACGTTTAAATTCAGATGCAGTACCTACTGAGTGGTTTCAGACGCAGCCTATAGAATACACAAGACGCGTCACCCGTATACTTTTGAATAGGGAAAAGTGTAACTGTATATGGCAAATGAAGCCCCACCTTCTAGTACAGAAGCCAATCAGCGTTCGCTATAAAATGACAATTCTCCAGGGAAGGGGCTCAGACCAGATGTGAGTTTTTGTATATTTTGTGTGATACGAACATTTAGAAATGAAACTAAATAAACTGTTGTTGTTTAATTTCATTGGTTATTCGTAATATGAAATGTAATTTATAGCTTGGCAAGTAGTTTTGGAGGATTTGATGTTTCCCCATTCAAACAGAATGCCCAAGCATACTGTCCGAGAGGTGTTTCAAAGATGGCCGTCACGTGAAATGACTTGCGTTAAAGGGAATTTGACATAAATAAAGGTTTTGTTTACAAATAAATAAAGGTTTTGTTATTTAAACACACCCCATATGGCTCCTTTAAAAAATGCATTTGATTAAAAAAAAAAGGTTCCTGACCCCTGGTCTAGTGTCTGGGAATGACATTTTTCAGTGTCTGCTATAATTTTAATGTTGTTTTTGTGTGTTTACATGATGAATATGGCCACGGTGTAAATACACAGTGCAGTTACGATCTTATTGCCACATTATATCATTATGATAACATAATATATGCCTTCAATGATTTCCTAAAAATAAATACCAAAAATACCAGGTGGGTGGAAATGTAAGGCTAAGGCTAGAAATACAGCTTCGTCTTAAAAAAAGGGAAGGAGACCGACAGAAACTCAAGAGTTTAGAGAATAAACCTTCTCCTGACCAGGTTAGGTTCTCAGAGTAAGTGACCACGGGAACTGACTCTGAGTTAAAGTTACCTCTCTTTCAGAAACAGGCTTGACTTGCACTGCTTCCTCCATTTTGACAAACTTGCCATTTTGAAACGGAAAACCCAGAGTTTCTCTCATTTCAGGGTTAACATGGTTTGAGTTTTCACTTAACCTCCTTTCTAAAAAGAGACTCTGGAATAACTACAGCAGTCACGATCGTCTGATCTCATTTGAAGCAAGAGATTGCGATGACATGATGACGTGTGCAGGTGGTGTAGTGCTGTCACATTTCTTAGAGGAAAATTTTGAAGCCCTTCTCTTTTACACTCCGTTTTAAGGGCCAAGTGGAAGGGGAAGGGGTACAAAAATAGAATTGTGATTGGGCCCCTAAACTAAGGTCCTGACTCTCTGTTGACTCTCTGCTGACTCTCTGTAATCCCACAATATCCTTCAAAAAAGAGTAGGCCCACAGGCATCTGTCCATCATGGCCTCCTAACCATCCCCATATCATAATTGACTTCATCTTTCTGTCTCATCTCCACCAATCAGCTGGTGTGTGGTGTGCAGTCTGGCACAATATGGCTGCCATCCCATCATCCAGGTGGATGCCGCATGCTGGTGGTGGATGAAGAGATTCCCCTCAAAAATATCTAAAACGCTTTTAGTGTCAGGTATTTGGAGTTTGAGAACATGCAAACTCCACACAGAAATGCCAACTGGCCCAGCTGGGGCTCAAACCAGCAACCTTCTGGCTGTGAGACAACGGTGCTAACCACTGTGCCACTGTGTCCCATTAATAACTTAATTCCTCGAGTAATTTTTTGCGTGTACTAGTGTAATTTTGTCCTGAACTGCATGCAGATAGCTGGTCTGAATTAGTGGTCTCAGTATAGAGCTTTAAATGATATTACAAGCACCATCCTCATCCCGCAGGTCTATCCAAGTTCTTCTACAATGGTGAAACTCTCCGCAAAGACGCCATCACTGCCAGCATCCTCAAAGTCCAGAAGATCCTACAATGGTTCGAAGGCCAGAGTCGGTTCAACTTTTATGCAAGCTCTCTTCTCTTCGTGTACGAGGGCGTCTGCGCGCCAAATCCCGGATCCCAGAGCCTTCCGGAAAGCCCGATCAAACCTGAGACCTGCGAGCAGAACAACAACATCTCCACCATGTACTCCCTGCACAAGAAAAGCTGCGTCCGGAGCCACTACCAAACCAATCAGGACAACGGCGTCTGGAGCTCCTCGCAGCAGCCCAACGGAAACTGCAGCCTGGCAAGACTGGAAGAGGAGCAAAAAGAGACCAAAAATGAAGCAGCAGCGGACACGGTTAGTGACGTGGAGGTTAAGATGATCGACTTTGCACATGTCTTCCCTAGTGACGTTCCCGACCAGGGATACATCTACGGCCTGAAGAACCTCCTGAAGGTCCTACATCAGATTCTGGAGTGAAGGTATGGGTGGTCTTGGTTGTGTCTGTTTATCCGCCTCTCTCTAAATCTGCACTACCTACAGCGTCAGTGGAGTAACCTGTTTGTAATCCATCGTCTACAATGTATGTGCTTTAGTCTTTTAAAAGCTTTGTACAGTTTGTTATGATATCTTACTCAGGTAAATGAATCTATAGTGCTTGTACGTTTATCCCGACTAAAGAAGAATATCGAAACACTCTAATGATATTATGCCTCAGATGTTACAGAGCAGTTCCTGTTTCCAGAGCCATTGCAGTTTTTTTATTATTATTTTATTTTGTTTTATTTTTTTTAAATCAGTGTAATGGAAGATAGGAAGTTGATGTGTGAGGATTTTGTCGTACGTATATGCTGCCAATATGACCCTGTCTGTTTCAGACCTGTTGAATCGTGAATTTTATCTCAGTTGTTTTTTTTTATAAAGAAAATGTGATTTGAGAAGAATTAAATCTTTGTAAATGTGTACACAGTTTGTGATTACTAATGCAATATCTGTCGAGAATCCCCCGTTTTCTTCATCATATATACAGCCCTTGTGTGTGTATATAGTGTGTCTGCGTCAAATGCCAAAGTTTCCATCAATGAAGTCAGCTTGAATGGGGATTTTAATAATTTCTCTTATTACTAGCTGGTGTTTGATTTATTTGGGGGTTGAATAGGATATGATCGTATTTTTAGTAGGATACCGTAAGAGGAAAAACAGGAATATCCTCTATTGTTAACTTTTTTTAACAAAGACATGGTTTTACACTTCATTTGTTGTTTATCTTCTCTCTTATTTGTTTTTTATTTGCAGCAGAGAAAACCATTGTCAGTCATTTAACTTGACAATTCACCTCAATTTTGTTTACTCATTATTTATTCACCCTCAGGTTGTTGAAAACATTTACGAGTCTCTTTCTTCAGGTAACTACAGATATTATTTTGAAGCATGCTGGAATTAGCCAGGAGCATTTTTAAAGTTTGCAAAAAAAAAAAAAAAACAAACAACATCAAACAAATGCGACTTTGGAGGGTTTCCATCACGTTTTAAGAGTGGCTGACTGTGTTATTGGTAACTTAGCAACCAATAGTAAGCAAAGCAAGCATAATGGAGATCGCTGATTAGTCCCTAATGTTTGCTACATCAGAGTTTATTCAGCAAATGTGTTTTTATATCTCGTCATTTATATTAACCCTTTTCCATAAACCACCTCAAGTGAGTGTAAAGTTTTTTTTTTTGTTTTTTTTTTTTTCACAAAATATGGCATTTCTGATCAAAATTTGTCATTTCCATACCTTGTTTCTTATGCGATTACTTTAAAATATGCGTTAACACAAGGATGGAAACCAGTAACAACCAGTTTCCAATATTATTCTAAGTATATGTATATATATATATATATATATATATATACTTAGAATAATATTGGAAATTGAAGAATGCTGGAATTAGCCTTTAGCATTTTCAAAGTTTTCAAAAAAGCAACAAACAAATGTGTATTAGATGAGATTCTATTACGTTTTTAGAGTGGCTGACTGTAGTATTGGTAACCTAGCAACTAATAGTAAGCAAGGCAAGCATAATGGAGACAGCTGGTTTGGCACTTTGGTGTAATGTTTGCTAGGTCAGCGTTTATTTAGCAAAAGTCTTTCCGTCTCTCATTGTTTACATTAAACCTTTTTTGATCACCACCTCCAGTGAGTGTAAAAATTGTTTTTGTTTGCGAATTATTCAATTTAAATGTAACTTTTTTTTGGCATTTTTATTTTAAATACAACATTTCCATTACATGTTTCTCGTGCAACTACTTTAAAATGCTCATTAACACAGGGATGAAAACCACTGGCTACCAGTTTCTAATAATTTATTCCAAAATTTGTATCTTTTCTTTTTTTTTCAACTGAAGAAAGAAACGTTGACAGGTTTGAAACAAGTGGTGGGTGAACAAAAGATGACAGAAGCTTTATTTTTGGTTAAACTAACCTTTTAACCAAGGTCTACATTTAAAGTTTTGACTTTTATTAAAAAATATATTCATTAAATTAATTTTAGTAATTTTGAAGGGGCCATGAATCGAGAAATCAAGTTTCCTTTGATCTTTTGACATATGTGTACTTTAAAATCATCTTGCAAGTTTCAGAACTTCTTAAGTACAAAAAAAACACCGTTATTAAACATCGTTTAAAAACACCATATTTAGCATCCAGAATGGCTCGCTTCAGATTTAGGTTCAATATGATGTAATACATAGATGTAAGTGTCTAAAAATGAAAGATAATGCAATGCTGATTATATTGAATCCTTTAATGTCGCAAATCACAATCGATATTGAATCACTTTTGCTTGTTTCTGCTGTCTAGTAAATATGGTTTATGTACCAAGTATTTCAACATTTAATGACATATTTTCTATACAGGTCTATAGATTATATTATTTACAAAACTGTTGCGCAATCATTGCAGTCAGTGTTAAATTCCAAGTCTCCTATCATAGCAAAATCAGTGTGCGTTCCAAAACACAATATTTCAGAATTTGGAAAGATGTACAATGTGGTTCATGACCCCTTAAAAATTGTGATTTGGAGATGAATTAACAATCTTTCCTTGGTTACATTCAGAAAATTAAACTAGCTTTTGAAATGATTTCATCGAAAACATGTACATGGTGTTTTGCCTTGACTGGAAAAAAGTTGTGGAAATCCATAGTTGGTGTTTAGTTCTCAGGCAGACAGTGTATTAATACAAATGGTCTTATACTTACATGTTTTACAATCATCACTTTACATCTCAATATGTTCAGCTCATGATATCAGGAAACTTATTTTTTATTATGTTCATATGGATCTCATTTAGATTTTTTGTTGTTGTTTATGTCTGTATTGTCTTGTTGTGATCATCTGTGATGATGTTGAAAGACAGCTAGCATAATGCAACGTACGAAAACCATTTAACGTTCTTGTTCACACGCACCTTTAAAATGGCACAACATAGGAACATTAGCTTTCCGTTTTGTTCCCAAAAATACAACACGTGCATAAATGGCGTAGTTTCAAAATGGAGATATATTACAAATGACCTTTGTGCCTATCAAAAAGTAAATAAGTGATCGTGTATTATGTAACATGGGCTCATTGGAAATATGATTCAGCCTACTTTTTTTGCGAACCACAAAAACGTGCTTTGACGTACGTTTGACTGCGGTTTTTATGTAAAATGAGCGCTGCAAGGCAGTATGACTACAACAATTTGTTCCTTTTCACACTAATGAAATTTACAGGGAGATATTACAGACAAATAAAGGGTTCTTTTTGTGCAGTTCTTTGCACAACACCAAATAAATACTATAAAATAACTTAACAAGCAAATAGCAAGTAGTTTAATATATTTGCCTCAACTATCTATCTCAATTTATAAAAGAAAAAGACATGTTTGATCTGGTCAGTTTGCTCATTAGCTCACATTGTATAGTGTTTTACTAACGCAGAGTGCTCTGGTTCAAATCCAGTGCAGCACACTTCCACAAAGGAGATAAAAGCAATGTAAAATCAAGGTAAACTATGTGGCCGCGATGCATTTTTCTTTTGCATTTACTTTTGAAAACGCTATTTGTTGGTTTTAAGACAAGCCCTGCCTTCTCATACAAAAGGAAAGGCATCTTGCATGTGCAACAAAACATACCTTAAGTAATGTATTTCAGATTAGCAAAAATGTAGACAGTGCCCTCTTGTGGATTTGTCATCTAAAACCTGCAACGAAATGTACCCAGAGCAACATATTTTAGCTGATCATAGCTATTTCTGGCAGGAGCACATTTAGCTTAGCTTAGCATAGATAATTGAATCGGATTAGACCATTAGCACTTACCATCTCACTCAGAAATGATCAAACACGTGCAGCAAAATGTACCCAGAGCAACATATTTTAGCTGATCTGAGCCAGATCTGGCAGGAGCACTTTTAGCTTAGCTTAGCACAGATCCAGATTAGACCATTAGCAAATAGCATCTCACTCAGAAATGACCAAACCGCTTCAATAATACAACAAAACATACCTTAAGTTATGTATTTCAGATTAGCAAAAATGTAGACAGTGCCCTCTAGTGGATTTTTTTTCATCTGAAACTTGCAGCAAAATGTACCCAGAGCAACACAGTTTAGTTGATCTGAGCCAGGTCTGACAGGAGCACTTTTAGCTTAGCTTAGCATAGATAATTGAACTGAATTAGACCATTAGCATTTACCAACTCGCTCAAAAATGACCAACCTGATTTAATAATTTTCCTGTTTAAAGCTTGACCCTTCTAGGGTTACACCGTGTGCAAAAATGCACCCTCTTGTGGATTTTTCATCTGAAACGTGCAACCAAACGTATCCAGAGCAACGTAATTTTTTCGCAAAAATGTAGGGTGAGGCAGTTACTTCAATGAGCCTGAGTTGGAATTATAAAAGGGTCTTCATTAGTGACCATAGATGTAATATTGGTCTAAAGCTCTGGAATACTGTTATTGCTCTCCATTATTATATGCTTTTGTTCATAAGAAGCGATGTTTACATTACTGTCTTTATGCTTATCTGGACAAAGACACAATGATATAGTCGTACATGCATAACTCAATAATTATTGTCCATTAATCATTTTTATCTCATGCACTGAAATCCTGTGTGTACATTTACGCTTTTGTTAATTGCTAAAGTTTATCTGTCAGATCATTTACATTTCTGATTATTTGTCTTGTTTTATTAATAATAGTGAATGGCACCAGATTGGTTACTACTGTATGGCGGTGCTTATTAAAGCACTTTAGTGAGACTGGATTGATCAAGCTTAGAATATTTAAGGGCATGAAACTGTTGAATCTTAACAAGCGGACAACTGAAGTCTAAAAACACTCATGTTAATGTTTGTACACTGGCTAGAGCTTTTGTTTGGTGGAACGGCAGGAATATTTCCACGGCATTCATTTTATGACAATGTCTTTGGTGTCTTTACGCTTGCTGTTCGCTATACTGAAATATACAGACCTTGAACTTTGAAAACGTTGAACTTCTTGGAAGTAACACGAAGACAGATTTCAGCTAATGAAAACTCGTATGTTTTCCCAATGAATTATGTATTCTCAATGTCAGCCATGGTAGAATCCTAGCCGTTTGCCCTGAAATGAACTTTTTTATAGTGATTTATTTTCAATAATCGAATAAACTTAAGTTGTTGTTATGAGGAATCTTTATGGAAAAGAGAACTAATCCAAAACAGATCAATAAACACTCTTGTTAAGCAGATGTGATGCTTACTGACTTGTACAGTGTGTAGTTTTTGGAGATCTAATGTCTGTTCAGCCCTGAACTCATCGTTCTCTTAACAGATTACCGTTTTTGAGTGTAGATATATGAACTTGACATTTACTTGGATGATACTGGGTGTATATTTGGAAGATTTTCATTTAATAAAATCTACATTTAATACCAGGTTTTGCCGTCTGTGTT